GAGGAGAATTTTCAGTCGAAGAAACGCTGCAGAAAAGCTCTAAAGAACTCCCGAAAGGCTCTGAAGGATTCCGAAACATCGGAAGATATCAAGCTACATTTTTGTCAAGAATATATGATTAACCCTTTGTGATTTTCATCTATTCTTGATCAAACAAAGCCAAAAGTTGAAGAACGTTCGAAGATCTGAAGAACGAAGCTTGAAGATTCGAAGATCTGAAGAACGAAGCTTTGAAGATTCGAAGATATGAAGAACGAATCTTTGAAGATTTGAAGATATTCATATGAAGATTGAATCAAAATTTAATTGAAGATCAAACCATATATCCCGGGAGGCCCTTAAACAGAAGATTAAGCCATAAAACGGTCCTTTTGTTGAAGATCAAGCCACTTGAAAACCGGAGGCCCTTCAATCTGAATTCTTTATTCAAGAAGATTTGAAGATCCGAAGAACGAAGATTCGAAGATCTCAAGAACGAAGATTCGAAGATCTCAAGAATGAAGATTTGAAGATTCGAAGAATGTTCGAATATTTGAAGGATTAGAGATTTAATTTTAAATTAAATTCTTTAATTATATTACTTCAAATTGCAAGTGAAGAATCAGAGGATTCATATTTAGAGATTGTACCCAATATTTTCATATATCATTATTTGCGATCGATTTTAAGTAAATATTTAAAATTTGTTTCACACATCTTTAGGCGTGTGTTAGTAGCCCCTGTCACGTTCATCTCCAAATCCATTTGGGGTTGTAAAACAACAATAGGGGATGACAAGTTGTGTGTTTGCGAGGGTGGGAAGGAAGGTGTGGGTGGTGTAGTTTCAGTGGGAAAGGACGGGTCAGTGACTTTTCTAATGTTTTAAGTCTTTCAAATTTCCATTCCTACTCGGTTATAGTTGTGGACATTATAAAGATGGGCAGCTCTACCGTGCATTCACATTTTGGTATGTTTCGGTGCCTCTTACAAATGGACAAATGAAATCATGACATGTCATTTAATGAGGCATTATCATCTTTATTAACATTTTTCTTCTCCTTTCTTTTACGCTCCGTATTACTTTTTACCAATTTACATATTAGTTCTCACATTTTAATATCTTTGTTTTGTACCCATATTTATTACATCCTTATATTTTAAACGTCTTTATTTTGTACTTCATTTTAAATTATTTCCTTTTTATTTTCCACAAGTTTCTTCTCGTTGTTTTTTAAAAGAGGGCGTAAATTCAATTTTCAAATGGAAACATGTACCAAACAATTTTTGTTCAACGTGACTTTGAGTTCTTTGTTTTGGCTAAGTTTTGTTGTTGAAGTATCTGTGGCGGTTCATATGTTAAATATTATTTTAAGAGCCTATTTAGTAACACCGAAATGTGATCATTTTTACAAAAAGACCATGATGTGATTAAGAAAGTAACATATTTGGAATAATATTATGTCACTATTATATATCAATATTAGATTTTTATGTCATTATTATATGTCATTACCAGATTTTTATGTCGTTTTTACTATGAAATATGTCACTATGACCGTTGAAAAAAAATTCGACAACCTTTTCCAGTGGAACTTTACACCACCACCGGCAGTGACTCGTTGTCGCCTTATAGAGACCAATCGCTCGTCAGTGACACCTCAGACTTTCGTGTTACTTATGAATGTCACTGTCGCCGTGAACTATGTCATACCGGAGAATTTTTCGGTGACTTTTTCCGGTAACACTGTGACAATCCAACATCACCGGTAACCACCTCTTCAGCACCGCCACTGCTGTCTCCCGGTAGATCGCCTCCCCCAACACCCCAAACCTAAACCCAGTGGCCACCATCCAGCCCAGGTGCCGCTACCACCCCGCACTGTGCACTCCGCAGCCTCAGCCCTAACCCCCTCCCCTACCCTGCCACAACCCTTATAAGTTCGTATTTCAACACGCATTTGATGTGTGTTTGGATTGAGTTTTGTCACCTTTCCTAATATTATTTGAGCCAAAGCGTTTAATTAGCCCAAGTCACGGTTTATCGAATTTGGTTTGCAATTGTTGTATTTAGAAGCAAAAATCCGGAATTTGAACCGGACATTGGCGTTAAAAGTTAACTTGAGAGGATTTGGGACCCTTTCTAGAGATGAACTCTATTACGTTTTCTGAGAGCTTTTCAAGCCTTGTTCATCAAGATTGTGAGATTCTTTGTAAGTTCTAACTTTTTAATTAATGATATTTAATTTTTTTCGTCCCAATCTATTGATTGCTCAGTCATGAATTATGAGTAGTTTTAATTAGGGATTTGGGATTGATGAAGGTATTAATTATAATCTATGGTTAAATTCTTGAGAGATTAATTGCATGATCTTTATTTAATTTGTGTTTGAATATTTTAATTGATATCTCTTGAATATTCATCAGCGTTTCTCAATTAAATAATTTTCATGTGATTATGCCTGATCAGCCTTGAAATCTGGTTACCCCAAAATCAACACATGTTCCCTTACGTTATTAATTAGAAATAATCATTTAGTTTAATATTTTATTCGCATTTTAATATTTCAACAATCCAAATTTCGCAAGCCGCGCGCAGCTTGCAAGCGTGAAGCGGCCTACAACAACTTTTCAATGGATAAGGATTACTGGTAGTAGGAATCATTGAGACCTCTCTCTAGGGTGGATTTCCGCCGCTAGAGTTTTCTTCTCCGCTATCGATTCTTTCGAGGAGCGGTCGTCTTCCCTACATCTTGTTAGGGTTTTTTGTTTCTGCCGATCGAGTTTCGTTCGTCGTCTGAGTTTTTCGTGGAACGAGTGCTTCACGCGGCTTTTCTCTTTGGAGTTTCGGAATGTCCAGATTGGATTTTTATGCGCAAAGAAACACAAAACAATATGACAGAGTTTTCTTCTCTTCTGGACCTCGGACATGGGTTTCAATGGCAAATATCAACGAGCGAATTGGCAAGAGCAAATTGGCGATCGCAAGAAGAATAGGGATTCAAATGAATTTTCCGGGGGGTTGAAATTCTTTTCTACCATACTACAGCAGCTTGCCCTCCTCCGGAACCACCTCCAAGCCAGAAAGAAATTTGGGGAAAATTTTTATTCTCGTATTATTTTTCCTTTTGTAGTACTTATTGTTATTTCAGTTTGAGCATGTGTGGTTGGAGTATTTTGATTTTTGATGAACTTTTGATAGGCAGTACTGCATTTTCGATCATTTTAGGCTTCTTTTTGACCTTTTTGTGTCTAGCGAGTCAGGGTTTATGATCGGATATGTAATAGCTATCTGGAATTTGTCTTGCGTGTTTGCTTTATATTAATGAAAAGCCGTTGTGATGATCAAAACAATCCAAATTTCGCACAATTGCATTTATTTTTTTTATTTTAATCATTTAAACTAGTTAATTCCCGATTCCCTTTCTCCGTCTCTGTGGAGATGATACTCGTACTCTTACCCTATATTACTACATCTTTTTAAGTGTCAGAAAACTCACATCAAGCCCCCATCCCTAGCACCCTTCCAGCGGCCAGCCACCTGTTCAGCAAACATTCCCAACCCTAGCCCCTCCCCAACCGCCGCACCACCAACCGTAACTCTAGCTACCGCCCATCGCTAAACCCATCGCTGAACCATAGACGTATCTGTCGAAAATTTGGATTGAATTTTTTACTCTCTTTTTTGTCCACGCGAATCTTGATCATATTATTGTCCACGGAAAGTTGTGAAGTAATATTTATGTCATTCTTTAAAAAAATTATGCTATTCTTTTGACAAATCACTGGTAGACGATGAGTCACTGAGAACTAGTCAATGAATATGTCATTTATTTGAAATTTTTTAGAATATGTCATATTCTTATTTTTTGAATTTAATTTAGTAATATTCATGAGAAAAGACTTATATATAAAGATACATGATTTAGTTTCAAAAGAAATACATTAATTAATGGCACAAAATGTATAATTATATACATTTAACTAATGGAAAACTCAAATAAGAAAGTCAATCTTTTTTCTTTTATATTTATTTTAGTAAAAGATAAAGGTAAGAAATTAAACTAAAAATCATTTTGGACCTTGTATATTTAATCTTGTGTGAGATTTTTTGTGTACAAGATACAATTGGTTTTAAATGCACAGTTACATATTGGTCGAACATTATGTTATATTGTTATGGTCCGGATTGCAATTTGTAGTACTTACGTATATTACTAAACTAAAAGTCATTATTAGTGTATCCTTTTATTATAGGGACTAGATTGCAATTTAAGTTAAACATTAACGATGCTAATTGCTAAACTCTTATCTACACCACGTGGAGGGTTGCACCGGAACATACCATATTGTGAAGGCACCGTAAAATTTTCCTAAAAAGATTTCTGAATTTATCAGTATAAAATATAGACGGCAAAATGGCAAATCAGAGAGTACAGATTTGAAAATTTTAATATAAAATGTTGGAAAATATTTCATTTAAATGCCCTTGGACCATTTATATAATTTAATAAATATTGGGGACATTTATGTCTCACCATTAAGATTGCCATATGACAGATTTGGTCTCTTTATTTATGTATAGTTAACGATGGGTATGTTTTAACATTAAATAATATATAGGAAAAATTGAAAATAATAATCCCAACTATTGTCGGTCCGCTGACAATAATCCCAACTATTGATTATTTTTGTATAATCCCAATTATATAGACTGTCCGCCAATAATGGTCCGTGACTAGATATTACCTCTATAAAAAGTGAATTTTAAATAGAAATTAAGCGTAAAAATTAAAAGTTGAGATTATTTATAGGGATTACTTGCTATATCTCATCCCATCCACTTTAAAAACTACAAGAATTTATTCATAGGGACCATTATTGGCGGAAGGTCCCTAAAGTTGGGATTATTCAGGAATAATCAATAGTTGGGATTATTATGAGCGGACCGCCAATAGTTGGGATTATTACAATCAATTTTTCCTAATATATAAGGGGCCAATTGGGTTTCTCTTTGATGCAAGATAAAAAACAGTCTCTTCGCAAAGGGTGCGTTTCATTCTTACGACTATAACAGACGAACACGTCTCTTCCCAAAGGTCTCAAGAACACCTATATTAGGAGACCCAAGGAAGATCGTTTAATCCATCAAAATCCGCTTGTATCCTTAGAGAATCTAACGTCATGGCTTCATCATCTTCTACGGCACCATCAACGTTCGGTTTCTCCTCAACCGGTTAGTGTTCTTATGTGCTTAATTCTTTGAATTTTATCATATTTGTGAAATTAGATCCTTAATTGGGACTGATTATTCAACATTTGGTATCCGAGCCCCGTTAATTCTCACTTGGTAAAATTGGAAGTTTACGATATGCCTAAATTATACGGAGTATATTGTTTTTTGCCGATTATATTTTCTGATCAAAACCATTTTCCGGATTCTGGTTTCCATCGTGTTTCTTCTTGATTTTGAACTGAGTGCTTTAAGTTTAAATAAATTCTTTGTTATGTGTTGCTATCTCCAAAACCGAGAATGTCATTATGGTGTTTTTATATAAAAGGTGCCGTCACCACTAATGCTGTAATGATTCACATATGAATTATATGATTTTGTTTAAACACATAAAATTGATGTCTCTGCTAATTTCCGTATGAATAACTGTATAAGTAGATTAAGTGCAGACAATCTGTTTTCTAGAATTGGAAAGTATGGAACATTTAGATACTGTACATTACATCCAGTTCTGTGTGAAGTAAATTATCTTCATAAATGTTCTAGACAAATGGCCATTAGAAATTCATGTGAAATGGATTAATGGAATCATTTGCATTTTGACAAGTGTTGTCACTTATTATGCTACGGCTGTGTTGATTCCTTAGTATAAGTGCATTCACAACCAATAACATGTATTCATATATAATGTTTTATTCTTCATTCTAAATTAAGTTTTGGTATGAATCGTCTTGTCTACACTTTGGTTGATGAAGATAAAGTAAAAGTATTTGAATTTTCCAGAATGTATGAACATGCATATAACTTTATTTGTTTGTTTTTGTTGTTTACGATCATCAACAATAAAACACAAATGATGCACCAGTTTGTTTGTTTTTGGACCTAAATAATGTTTTCCAGAACATTATTATCATTCCAAACGCAGTTCATATATGAATTATGGATTACTAATGATCTTAGTGTCAAGTTCAATGATCGGCTCAACGGAAGATTATTGATTTTGACTATCTTAAACAATTATATGAGTTTTCTTTTAACAAACTCAAAGGTGTGTTATTTGATAACTTATGTAATGAAATTTAAGCATAAGTGAATGTGTTATATTTCTGCCCAAAGGTGATATATGACATATTTGAAGCCTAATTTTAATTTTAATATCATAATGTTTGATAGTTAGCATTAGCCAACGCAATGTTAGTTATTAAACATGATATGAATTTTTCCTATTATTTGGTGTTGATAATAGGCTTATTTACTAAAAATTGACATGCCATATTGTATTCCCTTACATGTAATAAATAGCTTCTGTTATTGCCTCTCTTAAAACTTTTATTTCACCATCTACTTTTACCCCGTACAATTATGGGATAGAACCTCTAAATGGTACAAACTTTTCAACATGGAGAGAATCTATAAAACTCTCACTAGGCATGATGGACCTCGACCAAGCATTGAGAATGGATCCACCAGGTGCTCCTAATGATGAAAGCACTGTAGAACAGAAGCGTTCTTATGAATAGTGGGAGAGGTCCAACCGAATGTGCCTCATGGTGATTAAGAATTCCATATCTGTAGCTATTCGCGGAGCCATTCCCGACTCTGAAAATGCGAAGACCTACCTAGAATATGTGGAAGAACACTTTAAGGGCACATCTAAAGCACATGCTAGTACCTTGATTCTAAAAATGTTGACTAATAAGTACGATGGAGTGAGTGGTATTCGTGAGCACATCATGAAAATGTCTGGAGATCAGTGAAGGCTTTCTCGTTCATTTCATAATGACTTCTCTACCTGCGTCTTATGGTCCGTTCAAGATCAATTACAACACGCAGAAAGAGAAGTGGACCATGAGTGAGTTAATTGCTATGTGCGTTCAAGAAGAAGAGCGCCTAAAAGTTGAAAAACCAGATATTGCTCATCTTACCATCACAAACTCAAGAAAAAGGAAAGGCAACCGTCAAGGAGGAGGAAAAGGTAGCACTTCTAAGATCCCAAAGATAGGTGCAAGAGTGAACTCCGGTCCCTACTGTAAGTTTTGCCGTGTCAAAGGGCATTACCAGAGGGAGTGCTCTAAGTTTAAGGCATGGCTGACTAAGAAAGGTAACTTAACCACGTATGTAATTTATGAGTCATTGAACACATCAGTTTCACTTAATACTTGGTGGATTGACTCTGGTTCAATGGTTCATGTTTCAAATACACTGCAGGGATTCCATTCAATCCGGACATTGGGAAGAAAGTAAAGAGTGATTAAGGTGGGCAACGGAGAAGAATTAGAAGTGGAGGCCATTGGAACTATCTCATTAATTTTAGAGAATGGCTTCATTCTTCATCTTCGTGATGCTCTTTATGTACTTAATATTACTCGTAATTTGGTGTCTATATCGAAACTAAGTGCTGATGGTTTTACATTTAATTTCGTATACAATAAAGTGACAATAAGCTTGAACTCAAATGTAATAGGATTTGGTAGCATGGAGGGAAACCTCTATAAGTTATGCTTGGACACTAATTTATGGAATCCCCATTGTCATTTAATATAACTGAAAATCCTTGCAAGAGAAAAAGAGAATTGGAATCGTCGTCCAATTTGTGGCATCAAAGGTTGGGCCACATATCACGAGATCGAATGATAAGACTCATGAAAGAGGCATTCTTCCAAGTCTTGACTTCTCGGATTATGACAAATGTGTGAAGTGTTTGAAAGGGAAATTATCTAAGAAAACTAAGAAAGGCGCCACACGAAGCACCGGTTTGTTAGAATTAATACACACCGATATTTGTGGCCCTTTTCCCGATTCCATTAGTGGTCATAACTCCTTTATTACTTTCATAGATGATTAATCACGCTATATGTACCTATATTTGATTAGGGGAAAATCCGAATCACTAGATATGTTCAAGGCTTCTAAAGCTGAAGTTGAAAATCAACTTGATCGAAAGATCAAAGTAGTGAGATCGAATAGGGGTGGAGAGTTCTATGGTCGACACACTGATATTGGTCAAGCTCCCGGCACTTTCCATGAATTTTGTAAAGATCACGGGATCATCAACCAATTCAATATACCATGCCCGGCACCCCTCAACAAAATGGGGTTGCCGAAAGGCGGAATAGGACTCTTATGGATATGGTTTGAAGTATGTTGGCTAACTCAAATCTTCCCCAATTTTTATGGACCGAGGCCCTTAAAACAGCAACCCACATATTGAATAGAGTACCATCTAAATCTGTTCCTAAAACTCCATATGAGTTATTGACGGGAAGGAAACCTAGTCTACGGTACATAAAAGTGTGGGGTTGTCCGGCTGAAGCAAAAGTGTATAATCTTCAATTGAAGAAACTTGTCATGAGAACTATTAGTTGTTCCTTTATTGGTTATCCCGAGAGATCTAAGGGATACAGGTTCTATTGCCCATCTCATACTACCCGGATTGTCGAGACCCGACATGCTGAATTCCTTGAGAATACTAACATTAGTGGGAGTAGTAATGGTTCAAGCATTAATGATGAACTTCAAGAAAGTGCTGGAATGAATCCACTTATTATACTGCCCATTCCACCTAACTCTTCACTTGAAGATCATAATGAAATTCATACGCCTCAGAATAATGATGCAACAAGTCAAGAGGCGAATAAAACTCCAATAAATGTTGAACCAACTCCACCTTTTTCTAATGAAATTCCAGAAAATCAGCAATCCCTAAGGAGATCTCAAAGGGTGAGACGCCCCACAAATTTTGACGAATATTTGATATATTTAAATGATGAAGCCGAGTTTGATTTAGGGAAAGTCGTAGATCCTATATCTTTCCATGATGCCATTAATTGTGACCAATCGATTCATTGGAAAGAAGCCATGAATGAAGAACTTCTTTCCATGGAGAAGAATAATGTTTGGGAACTTGTTGAATTACCAAAGGGTCATAAGCCCGTTGGAAGCAAGTGGGTCTTTAAAACTAAATTAGATCCAAATGGAAACATTGAAAGATACAAAGCAAGATTGGTTGCTAAGGGATACACTCAAAGGGAAGGTGTAGATTATCAAGAGACCTTTTCACCTGTCTCCAGAAAGGACTCCCTAAGGGTCGTTATGGCTTTAGTAGCTCACTTTGATCTTGAGCTACATCAAATGGACGTCAAAACAGCCTTCTTAAATGGAGATTTACACGAAGATGTTTATATGATACAACCAGAAGGTTATGTTTCTAAGGGTCAAGAACATCTAGTGTGTAAACTCAAGAAGTCTATTTATGGGCTCAAGCAAGCGTCTCGACAATGGTACCTCAAATTTGATGAAGTCATGAAATCAAATGGCTTCATTAAAAACAAAGTAGATCAATGCACTTATCTCAAAATGAGTGGGAGCAAATTCATCATACTTGTGTTATATGTTGATGACATCTTATTAGCAAGTAGTGATCTGGATTTATTGCATGAAACAAAACGCTTATTATTTGGCCATTTTGACATGAAAGATCTACGTGAAGCTTCTTATGTTATAGGCATTGAAATTCACCGAGATCGAGTCAAAGGGACGTTAGGTTTGTCCCAAAAGGCATACATTGAGCGTATTTTAGAACGTTTTAACATGCAACAATGCTCTCCATCAGTTGCTCTAATAGTTAAAGGAGACGTTTTTGGGTCATTCCAATGCCCAAAAACCGAGGTTGAGAAAGAGAAAATGAAACTCATTCCTTATGCTTCTGTAGTTGGAAGCCTGATGTATGCTCAAGTTTGTACTCGTCCAGATATCGCATATGTATCCGGCATGTTGGGTAGATATCAATCTAACCCAGGATTAGATCATTGGAAAGCCGCTAAGAAAGTTTTGCGGTATCTTCAAGGGACTAAGGAGTACAAACTTACTTACCAGAGGTCTAATAATTTAGAAGTGGTGGGATATTCCGATTCTGACTTTGCTAAGTGCAAAGACGATAGGAAATCTACTTCGGGATACATTTTCTTGCTGTCAGGTGGGCCAATATCTTGGAAAAGCCACAAGCAAAGACTTATGACTACTTCAACAATGATGGCCGAATATGTTGCGGTGTACAACGCAACGTGTCATGGGATGTTGTTAAGGAATCTTATCAAAGGATTCAAAGTAGTGAATTCCGTCTCAAGACCACTAAGGATTTATTGTGACAATTCTGTGGCCGTGAGCTTCTCAAACAATAACAGTTCTAGTGGAGCGGGATTGTTCCTCGATACAAAGTATTTGTTCGTTCGAGAAAGAGTGGAGGAAAATGAAATTTGTATCGAACACATCAGCACAAATGATATGCTAGCAGATCCTCTCACCAAAGGACTTTCGCCCAATATTATTCAAAGACATGTCACTAATATGGGCTTGATCAAAGATCCCATTTAGGAAATTATAGCACAGTGCCTGATCAAATATCTTATATAATAATTTCAAGTACTTGATTTAGAATTCCTTCCGAAGTATGTATTGTCTATTCTTCATTGTGCACACAAAGTTATTTAATAGACAAACATGATACCCTAAGTTTAATGTCATTTGGCTTATAATCCTTATGCTTTTTAAGAAGTGTCAAAATATGATTAATGGGGGTCCCGGGTTATATTGACTTGTCAGACTGTATTTGTTTGCTTTGATATTATTATGGAGTAAGATGAATTTTTCTTGGCCAAAACTTACTTTAACTTATGTATAAATGATCTCAAGGTCAAGTGGGAGAATGTTGGAAAATATTCCATTTAAATGCCCTTGGACCATTTATATAATTTAATAAATATTGGGGACATTTATGTCTCACCATTAAGTTTGCCATATGACAGATTTGGTCTCTTTATTTATGTATGGTTAACATATGATGAGTATGTTTTAACATTAAATAATACATAAGGGGCCAATTGGGTTTCTCTTTGATACAAGATAAAAAACAGTCGTACGTTTCATTCTTACGACTATAACGGCCGGACACGTCTCTTCCCAAAGGTCTCAAGAACACCTATATTAGGAGACCCAAGGAAGATCGTTTAATCCATCAAAATCCGCTTGTATCCTTAGAGAATCTAACATCATGGCTTCATCATCTTCTACGGCACCATCAACGTTCGGTTTCTCCTCAACCGGTTAGTGTTCTTATGAGCTTAATTCTTTGAATTTTATCATATTTGTGAGATTAGATCCTTAATTGGGACTCATTATTCAACATAGAAGACCTCATGCCGCCACTCCTCTTCATTAGTTTTGCTTAAATATGCAACATATCGAGTTTTTAGACTAATCTGTATCATTAAAAAAAAGTAAGTCTATTATTCACTATTTACATTTTAAAATATCTTTATTATGCATCTTATTTAAAGTATAGGGTGCAGTTTTAATGAGAAAAATGTTTAAAGTCAAAATGTGAGAACCCACACATTTAACCCAATCAAAACCAATATTAACTAATCATGATCACATTTTGGTAACTATTATATTTAACACGAAAAATGTAATGAATGAGCCTCATTGTGCATCATATTCGGTTCAATGTAGTGGTTCTCGCGTTAAGCATTGTTCCATACTGAAATCGCCGTGCAAAATCCGCTGCTTGAGATGGTTCCCGGTGAAATTGTTTGATGAAACTTTGTAAGCATGTTCTTCATGAAATTTAGATTATGTCCACAAAATTACAGCTTAAAATTCAATCGAAAAATCAATTAAATAAATTATTGAAAAAAATCACTTTTATATAAAAAATAATTATATAAAATTACTCTGTAACATTTAAAGATTGTGACACTTAAGTACTCCCCTCAGTCTCATTTCATTTGTCTTATTTTCCATTTAAATTGTTCCAAAATAAGTGTCATATTTCATTTTTTGAAAAGAAATATGTGCTCAAAATTTTTCACTTTATTCAACTCAAATTTCACTACAGCTTTTACTTTTTCAATCTAACTATTAATAATTGTGTCAAACAAAAGAACACAAAAACTGCCGGCTTGGTAAGCCTTTTTTCGGCTTATCAACCTTATCAACCAATTTTTCGCTAAACACGTAACATTTGATTTTGCGTGCTGAGTTATGTAATAATAGGAGAAAGTAAGTTTGACTATCCTGACTGGTTTGGTTGAAGTTACTATAGATGATTATTTTAGCTATTTTATATAATTTTTTCTTTACTTTATTGATAAAATATATTTAAATTGTATTCTAATTTTTTAATAATTCAATAGAATCGGTCAATTTATTCGTTTCAGTCAAAACTTCATAAATTTCAGCAGAATCGACTGATGCAGTCAATTTCAGTGGTGTGAAATGAGCTCAATTAGAGACTTGAAAACGCAAAACAAGACTCTTTAAAGAGATGCAGGACCAGAGTTTGATTTGTTTAGTAACTCTCGTTTGTATTCGTGCAAAACATTTGGACATAAAATGAAGGGAAAACTGTCAAATAGATTCTCGAACTTTCATAAAAAAAAATCAATTAAGTCCTTATTTAGGAAGCACTGTTCGGCCGTCGTGATTTGGGGCGGTTCCCAGTGGAATTTTATGATGAAATGTTTTGAGCATCTTATTTATCA